GTTAAAGTTATAAATAAAAACCTATAAAGGTTTTATCTCCTTAAAAATTCTTTGGCCCTGGAAGTAGTGTTAAAGGGGCTTTTTGTAAGGCTACTGCTACATCGCTAAAGTTAGTATTAACAGCTATTTACTTACCAGTCTAGAAGAAACGTTGCGAGTTCAGCATCAAACTTCATTCTTTTACTCACCAACAGCTGTCTCCAGAGGTGGAAAGCAACCCTCTTGTTTTGATTCTATTTCTATCACTTTCACTTCTACTGAAGTTAGCATGCTAACCAGCAACCAGGCTGCCCAGACTGTCTTACCACTTTCCGACACCGAGTCACTGTAGCGTCCAGTCTGCCCCGACGAAGTAGCTGCTCATAGGACATATTATAACCTTTTGATTTTAAACACAACAATTACTAACGCTCTTGTCAAGACTGGTAAGTAAACAGCTGCTAATGCTAATGTTTGAAAAATTATTTTACTCCATGCTATCTGACCGTGGTATATTGTTTATCAGCTTGATCAAATTGTTCATGGAAGCTACATGATGTTTACACTCTGGAAACTTTGGGATCGCCTCTAGAATTGAACACAATTGTTCAGGGGGTTTTTAACAAAGTTTGGCAGCATAGCATGAGTTTGCATGCACTGACGCACCTGTTGGGGTTAAGTTGAAAAGGTTAAAAGGCTTTATGAAGAAAGAGCAAAGTCTCCATTAGTAAATACTGTATGCTCACATCACAGTTACAATACAAGTGTACAAATACTCCACTACAAGTAAAAGTATGACGTGCTAACATGTAAAAAGCACTGTAATGTTGTATGTAGCAGGTTTTATTGATAGCATTGTATTATAATGGAAAGGGATTATCATGTTTGCTATGTAAAATCTTCATATGCAATTTGTAAATAACTGTAGTGAAGTTAAAAAGTACAATATTCCTCTAAAAGTTAGAGGCGTCTAAATATAAAGTAGCATAAAACGGAAATAGTACACTATAAGTAACACTATAAACTGTTTAGCAAAATCTCCACTACTATATATATAATCTTATTGCCCTATGCTAATTACAAACTGACCAAATTTGGTGCAATAACAAAGCGTCAAATGACAAATTAAAGAGAAAATCAGCAAGTTTGTCTGCCTGGTCACAGTCAGCCCTGCAGGCTGTGTTCCTTCTGCCCACCAAATTAAAAATAGGAGAGGGATTATTTGTGGGTCGGTGTGGTTTTAGTGTGTGAGATGGAGTGTGTGTTTGCTCCCCTGTGCAGCAGCAGCAGCAGCAGCAGCAGCAGCAGCAGCGGCGCACTTAGCATAGGCTTTAAATAGCTAACTCAAATAAAGTGAGAGGAGGCCAGGGATCAGAGGCTGAGAGGGACTCTGTGAGGGAGGCATTCCCGAACGGAAGCTGGCCTTTGGATTTCCAAACACCCATTCGGAGCGAGCAATGCCAGGAATGTGATGTCGTCCAGCAGCAGCGGCGGTGGCGGCGGCGGCGGCTGTGAAAACCGCCGGGCCACCAGGTGCTGGTGGGCCGCCTGACAGGAAGTGCAGCAGGAAGTGCAAGCAGAGGTCCAGCAAAGGGACAAAATGGCGGCAGGTGACTCAGCAGAGAGGAGGACAGGAGCCAGACCGAGGGAGCAGAGGCTCTCTGAGCAGAAGTAGAGCTTCTATCAAGCCCAGAAATCTGTGAGCGGCTGAAAAGGGAAGACGACTCCCCCTCTGAAACAGCCTCTTTCTCAGCGACTAACCGCTCTTCTGCACTTTGCCTCCTTTTTTACACACTGTGTTAAATTTCTATTCTCTCTCATCCTTTCTACCTTTTGACGGCCTTCTTTGTGTGCAGGCTGTGGGAAAGTTTCCCGTAATGGTGAGGTCATCCACCACCGACTACCCCCCCCCCACCCCCCGCGGCCCATCACCCCCACCCCCACACAACACACACACACCATTACTACATCCCCCCCCCCCCACCCTCCATGCTGTCCCTCTTTCTCTAGGCCAGGCACGAATGCAGGACAGTGATGGGTGATGTGTCCTCACGTCCCTCTCTCTTCCACGTCCAGTTCCTCCTCTCTCTCCACAGAGACCAGGAACCTGAATAGAGGCTCATTCAGAACTGGTATCTAATGATCTGGCCTCTAAAACCGAGACACAGCGTGGACACAGACAGATCAGCAGCTCTTTGCGGCACCTATCAGGCATTTAAATCACCTTCCTTTTCTCAAACACACTCACACAAGCTTGGACACACTTTGATATTGCCAAGTTTATTCAGCAGGGTGGTTCTTCTTGCGTGTGTGGACTTGCTCACATTCATCTGAAACTGTTTCTTGATATAAAACCGGTGTGATTATAAAAAATAAAAAAAAACTGAATATTTGTCAAATATCTCTTAAGTTCTGTAGATTTTAGTGATTGCACTTTGATTCTGTGTGAAGTGTGAACTTTGGTGGCTGATTAGTGGCATCTATTGGCAAAACTGCAAACTACACTTTTGATTTTAAAGGGTCAGTTCAACCAAAATGACAAAACAACCTGTGGTGGTGCTTCTGTCATACACATGCGGTTTTAGATATCTGACTCTGAGACAGTAATTACATTTATGATGCTCAAAGCACTGAAAAATTTGATTCAAAGATGCAAAAATCAATACTATCATAAAATGTAAGAGCTTTTTTTTTTCTATTCTGGATGACTGGACTGATTTTGATGCCTGTTTCCAGCTGTAGCTGCAGCTGTTTTAAGCTAAAAAACCTGTAATAAACCCAGTCTACATTGCATGCACAGCACCAAATGGCAGTCAGACAAAGTTAAAGTCCATAAAGTCCCCAGAGTACAGTGGATGGGTAGATTCATGTGACTCAACGGCAGGAGAACTGAATAAAAAACACACAAAAAGCAAGTTGTCTTTGTTAACCAATGAGGGAATCGAGGGACCATGATGCTTTGTTTCAGTCTGAACATCTAATGGCCTGTTAGTAGCAAATATTTTTCTCTTTTTTAACTTATTTTGGACCATTTTTTGCCTTTATCATGACAGGGACAGTGAGAGAGAGACAGGAACTTGAGCCCGGGACGTTGTGGATAGGACTGAGCCTAAACCGAGTGAGCACAGAGTCATCGCGCAGAAGAGTCATCAAAGACCAAAACGGAGCTAAAAAGGAGAGTAAATACTGGACTTACATTTACCATGTGGATACAAACACCACTCCACAATAATGCTGATGTTGCTCTGTATCTGCTGGATAACTATTGTTTACCATATCTACTTTGTTGTTAGTGTCATGGTTTTCCCTGACAGGACTGTTTCGCTGTTGAATCCTGTTGTGTAACGTTATTAAACGTATAAAAGACACTGTCTGTCATTGTTTGCGTTTGGGTTCAGTTATTCCTTCACACGTGACAGAAGGAAATAACCAATATGGACCCAGCGGACAAACTTTTCCTCAGTTTGCCATTTACTTGGGAAGACTTTGAAGTGACCACAGACACTTTTTTGAGTGAAGAGCCACATTTCCTCAGATTACCGGCTGCTATTTGGAAGCAGGACCCTGATTTTTACCCAAGAGGTGTCTTTAAGTCCAGCCCCGCTCCGTATCCAGTAGTTACTGAGTCTATCACATGTGAAGGAATAACTGAACCCAAATACAGACAACACAAAAGGGTATAGGTGGAAAAAAAAGGTCTTTTAATAACAAGAGCAAAACAGTCCTATAAGGGCAAACCATCACAGTTAAGTGCTAATATTTCAGTGTTGTGTTGTCAAGCTGCTTCCACTGTGAAAATGAATTCATGCAGATAAACAAAAGAAAGAACTTAACAGGTCCAAAAGTGACTCTGTTCATCATATATACTTTCTACCAAAGAAATAATATCAGTAACAACATGCTTTTCTCTTGTGCAGGGAAAAACTGAAAGCATCCACATGGTTCTATATGAAATGTTATTTTGTAATTTGGGTGAACTGATCCTTTAACAAGGCCTCAGACTTAGAGATGCTCTGGTAATATTCATTTAAAAATCAAATTTTAAAAATTAAACGTAAAGCAGGAGAGGAAATTAGGAAAGAAAAAAAAAGTTGTACTAATTTTATGACATTAATCACAGTAAATGAGACTCTTTTCACGATAACTGTACAAATCTGTATTTAAGTCGCTGGTGAAGGAACTGAATAACAACTATATTATTAGTAATACAACAAGTACACGTGGGCAGATTATGTAGTTAGCTCACTGTTATGTAAAACACTACATCATACTGTCCCCCCACAATAATATGGGGCATAATTACATAAATTCTGAGGTACACTTTACCTCTAATCCTAATGTACAGTTTGTGTTAATATACAAAAATATATGACAAGTATATTTAGGAACAATGAAGGTTTTTTTTACACATCTGTAAAAAGGGATAAATACTTTGAGCAAAATATAAACACAACACAATAAATCCATCTTAAGTACAAGGCAACCGCGTCGTTGGCTCTGTCACGTGACAGCAGGGTCGGTTCTGTTTGAACATATCAAATGGAGCTGTGATTTTAAACAGAAGTGATGCTGAAACCTGATTTACACCATTTACACCAAGAAGGAAAAGATTTCAGAATTATAACGTGGATATTTATGTGCAGAATATCTGATATTCTTCAGGTTTAATCTGAAGGAAATTAGTTATTTTTGACAGTGACTTCCAGCAACAAGTGAGTTCAGTGTGGTAGTGTAATGCATTGAAAGTAAGTTTGAAGATAAAGTCAGAAAAAGTGTCAAAATCTGATTCTCAGAGGAGATCGTCTGTGAAAAAGGGTCTGATTTTTTTTTTTTTTTTTCAAAGACAGAGTTCAGAGTTTGGCATCTTGCAGGTGATTATACCTGACAGTCTTGGCTCCCTCTGGTGGCAGCATCCAGCAGTGCAGCCAGAGCGAAACGCTGCTCCCTTTGCGGGATGGACCAACAGGACCAGGAGTTGGAGTGTGTGTCTTCATGTGTTTTTTGGCTCTTGGGAGGAAAAGTTGTTGTAGAAGTCTTTTGTTTTTTTCATATTGATGTGATGAAGTCGAGCCTCAGTCTGTAGTTTGAGTCTCTCTCTCTCTCTCTCTCTCTCTCTCTCTCGTTACTTTTTATGTGACCCAATCATGACCTTTGAGACGAAGTTGACGATGGCGCTCGCCGGCTGCTCCGGGTCGTGCTCAGCGAACAGGTGGCACATATTCTCCGTGTCACTCTGAGATTTCCTGGCGACAAATCCAAAGATCCTGACAGAGAGACACAGAGGGACAGACAGGGACATTTACAGAAGAGCAGCGGGGACAAATGTCAATACATTTTGAACAGGTGTGAACAGGTAAGGAGAGATTTGGAGACTTGTGTTTGCTTTGGGTGACATTTCACCCGAACTCTATCGAACACTCATCCTCTGCAGCCTTGAAATGCAGCTGTAAGAAGTTTATAGCTTCTCCACGTCTCCACTGTCCATCGATTAGCTGAGATACAGGTAAATGTGCAACCTCAGCCTCAGCAGGAAAAGTGAGTGTTTGATATCTAAAGACAGACTTTGGACCTCCTGGTGTCTTTGATCCTGGTCTTTGAAACTCTGCATGTCTCATTATCAAACAGCCCGACTATTTCAGCCGATTGTGGTGAGACCAAGCTATACCTGCTTTTTTCTCTAGTCATATATCGAAGCTAATTGCCTCTATCATTCTAATATTATTCCTCGAGGAGACTCCAGACTATTTTAGGCATATAAATGAAGATGCAATTCCCATAAACAGCTTTTTTTTCTCTACACATGCACCATAACAAAGGTGATGAGGAAAAAAGCAGTGAAGGGAGAAGACGATAAAAACTTACTTTGCAGTGGAACCGCTGCCTCTCGTCCATCTGTTCAGTCAGAATAACATTATGTTATAAAACTGGTTCTGGACATCAAATATACACATTCATATTTAACATATCTACATTAATATTTCATTAAATGTGAACGTATAAACAACAATCTCTCCTCTGATACAGCTTAAACTGACACTGTCATAACAGGACGAGGATGTGTCAAATAATTGCATATTAAATAAATTCATCATTTTATACAGGAGTGGACATCAGCTAATCAGCAGCAAAGGTTGAGAAATGTATCCTCTCTCTCTCTCTCTCTCTCTCTCTCTCTCTCTCTCTCTCTCTCTCTCTCTCTCTCTCGTGTGCTTTCCATTACAATGTAAAAGAGTATGGCCAGTTGTGTTGTTGCAGTTTATATGAATGAAGTGTCAGTACTCACTTCCTTCCCTGTGGGTCCAGAGAACAGAATATAACGGTGTTGACGGCGTAGTGTCTCCTGAAGAACAACCTGCAGGATCAAACAGAGTCTGTGTGAACATGTGGAGTCCTGCGTGATCACACCTGAGTCTGTGTGTGTGTGTGTGTGTGTGTGTGTGTGTGTGTGTGTGTGCATGAGCGATCACTCACTTCCTCTGGTTGTCAGTGAGTGTGATGCCCTGTGCCGACACTTTGAAGTGGACGACGGTGGAGGCCGGCGGAGGGTCCATGGAGAGCGTCACCGTGGTCGCCTTCTGAACCGCCTGGTGTCCTGTCAACGACTCCAGCTCCACGGAGCCCAGGTACCACACGTTACACGCTGCGCAGCGACGCGGCAACATACAGACAAACAAATACAAGGAGTTACTCACTGAAACACAACTCAGGTCCTTTGTGTATTTTATAGTGGATACAAACTACACTGAAAGTTTCAACTGCTGCTGGGCTCATGCACACACACACACACACACACACACACACACACACACACACACACACACACACACACACACACACACACACACAATCAAACAAACAAACACACAGATTTGAGTACATATGTGTTGTACCTGCTCCCTGTTTAAGGAGTTCAGCTGCCGAGTTTGTTGCTGTTTGTGCAGATGAATCATTCAGCTCCTCCACTGGGTCTGCAAGCAAACACACACACACACACACACACACACACACACACACACACACACACACACACACACACACACACACACACACACACACATACACACACATACTTGCATGTAAGACTGAGAGTTGCACATTTTTTTAGAACCAACAGAAGCAATTCAAATTTGAGACTTAAAACAAACATTAAAAAAAAAAATGTCATATTAAAAAGTTTTTAATTTGTACAGAATCAACATTAAGAGCATGAGCAGCAGGAAAACACTAAGCTCTCATTGTATGCATAAAAGTGTTATTGAAACCTGATTCACATGTCTTAACCCACAAAAAGGTCTAATAATCTTACTTATGATATGTGTATTCATGCAAGAGAGCTTGTTGGTCATTTTAAGGTTTTTCATTACAACCCAAATGCTACACTTGACTTTGGTTTCAAGGCTAATTTAAGACTTTATTAAAAAATATATTATGTGTTCTCCAAAACCCCTGCTGATAACAAAACGGTCTGAACCTCTCACATCTCAAATGTCTTAACTCAGCTACACACAGGACTTTGTCTGAATAGAGTGTTAAATCAACACTGACGAATGATGCAGAAACTTGGTGGTAACTTTTGACTCTTGGTACTCTTCAACAGGTGATGACTGAGGTGTGACACCTTCAGAAAAACGTACACACACACACACACACACACACACACACGCGCGCGCGCGTTTTACCTTTGTCGGGCAGGATGAGTTTACAGGGCAGAGCCAGAGGGGTGATGGAGTGCTGACACACCAGAGCAGTGAGACTTCCTGTTAAATAAAATCATAATAAATATTTTACAAACAAACCCGCCAAACACCGCAGCAGCTGCACCTCATCGTTCTGACCACTAGAGGGAGGCAGAGGAGACACATTAAAATCCCTGGTCTACTGTGTCTTTATCACCTGACTGCGTCCACCCTGGTGGACAGTTAACAGCTACAATTGAGGAAGTGAAGCACTTTAAAATGTCGGCTCAGTGTAAATTTGTTTTACTGCACTAAGAGAGAAACACTGGAGCTTCTATTGTCATCAGCATTACTGGTTAATGCAGTTTCTGCTTTTCCTCTGCTTTTATAAAACATGTGATTGACAGTTTTCTGAAATGGTTCTCAGTTATTAAGAAATGAAATGATTAAACAGAGCTATAGTCTGTGTTAGGTTTCGAGTTGGTGTTTGTGAGTATGAATGATACGGATGTGTATTGACGTATCTGTTGACACTGAGGAATTGTTTATGAATTTAAGTTGACCCCAGGAAGAGTAGCCATTGTTACAACACAGTGGCTAATGGGGATTGAAGTACATGAAATAAAAATAAATAAACCAGCAGGATCACTTCACGGTGACGTGGGATTTAGTGCGTTCGTTTTTGCATCAATATGATGAGATATTTGGATTTGTCAGGTATTTTATTCACTGAATCACCCAAAAAGAGATATTTTCTTAAATAAAATCTTAGTAAAATTCACAATATCATGACATAAAAGTAAAACATAAAGAAAATGTTTTCATTAAATGCCTTGCTCAAACATTTAGAAACACCAAATATGAGAAATGATGGACTATCCTCACCAAAGTAAGGCTCATTGGGGCAGCCTTTAAGACGAACTCCCTTCTGTGTGCACTCGATGAGGAAATGTCTCACCAGCTCATTGGACAGGTCTCCCACTGCAGAGACACAGAGACCACATTTCAGCATAGGAACTGTCAGACTTCTGGACGCTGACGTACATGAACAGTAAATACCACTCAGGAAAAAACATGCTGAACCTACCTTTCTTACTCTGTTGTACCACAGACGGAGGGGGTGTGGCCACCTTCATAGCCAACCCGTACGCCCCGCGAAACGAGTGACTGTCTCTGACAATGAACGAGCCCGGCTCTTTGTCCTTTAGCACGGCGATGGCTGTTCGGTGGGTCAACAAACAGAGATAAGCTAAAGTTAGAATCGCCGCACTCAGACTGTATATCGAGGGAAACCTTTGCACAAGGCTGTATTATCTGCTCAGAAGTGGCCGTTCTGGCTCTCAGGTCCAAAACCAATATTTACCTTGGTCTCTGGAAATGTCGGGCTTGTACCAGAACTTGGAAGTGTCCTGAACAAACTTCACAGTGTCATGCTTACTGCCAAAGTCTGCGAGACACAGATTAAAGCTCTACGTTAGGTTTGAGACTGGCTTTAGCCCAAATATGACAAAACACTGTTAAAGGGGCAGTACACCCAATTTACAACATGAATCTTTTAAACCACAGAGAGATACAGAGACCCCTGATCCCTGAAATACTGTATCTGGGATAGTGTACCTGATCCGGGTGACTGGGTCCCACTGAGTCCTCTCAGGGGGTCGGGGGTCATGGAGGACGAGAAAGGGATGCTGAGACTGCTGCCACTGTGAGGGCTGGAAAACCCGCTTAGGGAAGGGGAGCGGGAGCCAATTTCTCCCCCCTCAACCCATCTCCTCTTCTCAGGCAAGATCGGAGCGAGGCCCCCTTCTCCCCCGAGGTTCAGGGTCCCGAGCCCCTCCATGGCCTCCAGCAGGCTGTGATCCAGGCCACCGTTCCCCAACAACAAGGAGGACAAGTCTGCGCTGTCTGTCTCTCTGCGGACCCCAAGACCTCCACCCAGGCTTTTCAGAGCCCCCCGGGGAGAACTGTGGGCATTGGGAGTGCTGAGAGGGAGAGGGGGTGAGGGCTGGGGGGGGTACGGGGAGTTCAGGGAATTTGGAGTCCGGTCATGCCACACTGGAGGAGGAGTGGCACTGCAGAGGAGAGAGAGGGAGAGTTAGAAGTAGAAATGAACACAAACAAGTTTTTAACGAATTAGTATCATGTCTGGTTATTTAAGAACCAGGTGTGTGTGTGTGTGTGTATGTACCTGTCTGTGTGTGGGAGGGGGCTTCCTGATGACACGGAGCACATGGAGCCAAAGATCCTCTGACAGGAAGCAGGAGTGACCGACACGTCTGATCTGAACAGGTCTCCCTCTGTGGAGCCGCCGGCGTGGTTCATACCGTCCAGGAAACTACGGGCATCTGAAACAGAAAAGAAAAGGAAAAGAAAAACAACGTCAATCCTCTTCTAACACATACAGTCATCTTGTAAAAAACTAACCAGATGTATAGTGAAAAAACCCACAATTAGAGACAGTTATATAACCTATAGTAACTGCCTGTTTAACTATGTGTTTCCTTTCGTTGGGGCCCTGCCTTTGTTTGAATTACAGAACCATCAACATGTAACAGCAGAACAGAAACACATCTGTCATTTCTTTCTTTAACCATTATTTTTTAGGGAGTGTCAGAAGCAAGTGGATTTTTTTGTCAATAAGAAAATTATAAATTGCCAATTTATAGTCTTATCTGTCTATCTTTTTCATAGTGGGCCCCACAGGGACTATTTTAACCAAAATTATTTTCTCATCACATCACATTTTATTAAAGTTTTTGGACATTATTCCCAAAATTTCAGATTTTCTTTCCCAAAAAGTGTGTCTAGCCTTTTAATGTGTGCCTGTGTTTTGTTTCAGCAGGATGTAAGAGCATCATTCAGTCTGAATCATCCACATCTAACAATACTGTGTAGTAATGTGTCATCTCAAAGGCACGTTACAGTAATTCACTCAGATGTTGATCCAGTCCATCTGTGTATGTAAGTGTCATATCCAGTTTATTTTTATCCCTCTCACTTTTTTTTTAAAGTCACAATTTTGAGTTTGACGTTTTGAGAAATACACTTTTTTTGTTTATAGATAAAAACACTAATATCTATCTCATGACTTAAGTATAGACACTTAATGTGAGCTTAAGTTAGCCTATAAAGACTGGCAGTTTAATCCTAGCCTTCTGGCTACAGCTCAAAAATATATTAAATATAATAAGCATTAGTTTGACCTTTTGGTAAATGTGCATATTCTCTTTTTTGACAATTTTTCAATGAACTCGACAATGTCTGCAACACTGGAGCAGCTGTTAGCCTAACTTAGCATAAAGGCTGGAAGCAAGGGGAAACAGTTAGCCTGTCTCCATATCTTAAAAATCTCCTAAAAAAACACGACTAAAGCTCACGTTAACATTTCACAGCTTGTTTACAGAATTTTGTAAACACAGAAGACACAGTACTGTTTGTCCCTACTTCCAGCGTTTATGCTGAGTTAGCTTTGAGCATAACACACAGACACTTGAGTGAACATTACTGACTTAATTGAATCAAACTCTCAGCAAGAAAGCACTTTTCCTTTAAAACTGTACTTTCCTTATTTGTAATCTTGATAAACAGAGCACTGAGCTGGAGTCATGACGTAGTTAGCTTAGTTTAGCCTAAAGACTCTGAGCTAAACGGCTAGCCTGACACAAACTACACACTTTTTACATGTTTACATTTCTTTTGTAGCATTAAATAAATGACAGAGATATGACATTTGAGTTTGTGAGCTTTAAATGTGTTGGAAGTCGTATTTTTATTTTAGTTTGGACAGAGCCAAGCTTGTTGTTTCTAGCTATGCTAAACTAGGTTACAGCTAGTTGGAAGAGGAAGAGAATAAATGTGTGCAAAGCAGTAGGATTGACAGCGCACAACAAAAAGCAGAGGTGTATGTGTGTGTGTGTGTGTGTGTGTGTGTGTGATGTTGGAGGGCATTTCAAACATCCCAACATGACACCCTGACATTCTGACAACACAGTGTGTCATTCAGCAAACACCAGGACAGGCCTCCTCAGGCCACAGACAGGCCTGTGAAGCACGATGAGTCACCGAGAAAAGAGTCAGTCATTATAAAGAGCTCCTTGTTTCGGACGGCGGCCCCCTCCCTCCCCTCTTCCGCTCCTTCCCCTCCATTCAAGCACTCAGAGATGGAGGAATTTGGACTCGCAGCTTTGTCTGTGATCATGTTGGACAAGATACAGCATCTCGAGTGGATTATATAATCACACGTGTGCTGTTAATGAATTTGAGGAATGTATGAATGAGTGAATGACGCAACCGCAACACACACAAAGTACAAATGTAATACTATCTGAACAACTGAAGAGTAACTACTGAGCATTGCCAGCAAAGTTACATGACATATTGGATGTAGGTGCTTGTGCTTAACTTGAGCATTTCCACTTAAAACCTCTACTTTACTACATTTATTAGACACCTATTGTATCGTTACTTCTTAATAAAAGATTATACATAAAAAACATAAGAACATAGATGTTTTATTATAGACAATTTACAGTATAAAGTAGTTACAATTAGGTCCACCTCAAGAAACTACAACAATAAAATGCTGCTTATATGTTAAATTATAACATACCTATATAATGATATAATAAACTGAAAGAGAGAATTGATATATATTTTTGGGAACCTGAGAGTTCAATCCACTGCAACTTAAGAAAACACATGCAAATAGACAAAACACAAACAAATTCAGAACACATCTTGTTCAATGTGAACAACACATGTGCTGCAAATAAAGACAACACAACCAAATACACAAACAATGTAACAGACGAAAACAGAAGTGTTCCCAGGGGACACTAAAAAGTGATGAACCCTTGTTGCTCAATGCATTGTGGGGTTGAAGGTTGAAGGTTGAAGGTTGTGAGGTGACGTTAAAAGCATTGAACAACAAGTGCGCCCCAGCTGGGTTCATCACTTCACAGTGTCCCCTGGAATCACTTCCGTTGTGTTGTGAGTACTTCCAGCACATGTGTTGTCAAATTGATGAAGGTGTTTTCTGAATTTGTTTGTCTTTTGTCTGTTTGCATGTGTTTCATTAAGATGCAGTTCGTTGAGCTCTCAGGGCCACCGTACATAATGGCCACCAGACTGAGTGTATCAGTTGATTTTTGATAACTGAATTCATTGCTCATTTGCTAGAGAATCCGAACCACTTATAAACGCACTGTTTTGTAGACGGATCTGTGCACATGGTCATAAATAATGTGATGTTTAACATATTAGGGACCCAAGATAAAATCTTTCCCTCGGAGGCCACTGACAGGTCGATCTGACCACAGTAGTTTTACTCAAGTACATTTTTGAACCCAGGATGTTAAATATCTCCTACCACTGGTATAAAGGTTTTGAGTCTAATGGGACTTTCCCACAGCAGAAGGGCTCCCACACAAATTTCGATGATGCCTACATTATGTATGGTGTATCAGATATCTGTGAGCGCCGACTTACTGGCAGCTGTTCTGAGCAGGACTCACTTCACCATAGTGAAAGTTATGTCACGTATGTTCAGTATCTGTCTGTCCACAAATCAATTTAGTGTGGAGCGGAAATGAAAACTAGCAGATAAAGGTAATAATCCCACAATGCAATATGTTACGTTTGATTAATCCAAAACGCTTCCACCTATTGTTTTGGTGCCATATGAATTCCCCTCATTGTGTATCTAATACTCAAACACAGGCAGTTGACACTCAACTTATACTCTTAGAGGTTAAAGGTCAGGGGCCCAGAGCAGATTGTATTGTAGACTGTTTCAGATAAGACCCAAAGCTCTCATCACTGACACTGACTCATGTACAGCTCAGAGAGAAGAGAATAACCCGAGGCTGTAGTTGTTGTTGTTGTTTGTAGGAAACAAACGCGCTGAGGGGAATGCACTGAGGGCAGCAGGATTCCTCAAACATTCCCACAGTCGCCGTCAGTTTCCCTCTCTCGGGACTTTTTCCCAGAAAGCATCTCCCTCTGTTCCCACGGCTGATTTCTCTCACTGAGGTTTTTGTCACATCTGCTGCTCCACAGCTCATCCTAGCTCATCCACCTAATTACAGAACAGCCCAAACTGTGGCAACGCCGGCCTGACCCCACCCTGACCTCTGACCTCAGACCTTAGACCAGACTGCATGGTCGTTATTACACCCTCACACACCTTTCACCTCCTGTTTCCATGCTGCACAGTAGCCATAGCTACTCATGTTCAACCAGACACACACTAATGAAGAATCCTGGAGAGACGCACTGAGAGAGAACATTATGAGCCCAGTGTGAAACAGAGGGAGACGTGTCCATTTTCTTAAAGGTCCCATATTGTATAAAATGAGATTTTACTTGATTATCAAGCAGGTCTAGGTTCTGTATTAATACTGTGAAAGTATCAAGGTATAAAAAAAGAAAAGAAATTTTGCTCCATAAATTCTCAACTCTTTCCCCTCCAAAATAAGAGCTTTCGCTCCCTAAAACTATCTTTGGTGAAACTGATAATGTGACAGAACTGACGCTCCGTATTCAACATCAATACCAAGTGAAATGTCTGTATGTATTAAATACTGTTAAGTACTGAAAGCAAGATTCAAGTCAGATTTATGCTTTGTTTAAAAACATGTTTATATCTAAACACTTTTTAACTCTGTGCTTATTTAATCCCTGTGGGAATTTACAGTGTAACAACAACCAAAGCAAGGTCTGAAAAACACATGTGGCAAAAGTGATATGAAAATGCGCACAGTAACAGTTTGTTATGAAACAATATGTGTTTATATTTGTCAGATTGTTTCATATTTTTCCTAAATCTTTTGCATCAGGGAGGATTTCTAACTTCTACATTCGTTACCAGGGACAACTTTTTTGTACTGTGAAATTAGCTCATACTGTCAATTCTGCCAGTTAAGCTTCATTGAACAGAACTGAGAGAAACAGAGAGAGAGAGAGAGAGAGAGAGAGAGAGAGACAAACACAAACACAAACACAAACATGGAAGCAGACTCAAACAACAAACACACAAACTTTACCATGTGTGCTGTTACACTTTATTCTGTGAAAAGCTTTGAGAGTTTTTTCCTCTTTTCATTTTGTGAACAGTGTTTTTCTGTCCGTTGTTTTCTCCCCACTCCTGCAGCTCTGAGTGAAAACAAAGCCTCTTCAGTTTGGGTCAAACCGTGCAAACCAATTCCAGATGGCACAGGCCCATGTGGGCACGACTGCCAACATCCCCCAGCCAATACCCCCCCCCCCACCACCCCACCCCCTCTCAAAACCCGTAACACACACACACTAACAGATACACACTTTTCCTGATCAAAGAGAGTGATGG